TTAACACCTGTAGAAAACGATTTTATTTATATTTTTTAAAAATTAAAGTGTTTAAAATGTATAATTAAGAAGTAAAAAGGATTTTGATACAGTATAAATAAATGTATTTCCCATAAGCTGTACTGTAGTGGCTTTAAAACTATACAACATTGCGTTGTTTGCTTGTGGCACGTCTTTATTCAAATTCTAAAACTACAGTATGGAAAAATGAGTGTTAAAAAAAACAGGACATTTGATTGCTGGTTGCCTTATGTTAAACAGCAATGACTGGTGCAGCAGCGACTGATTTCCAGAACCAAGCCTTCAAAATGTACTTTTTTTTCATCAACAGAAGATACCCTAACAGTGTTATTGACAGGGCCCTTGCCAGAGCCAAAAACACCCCTCGGACCATCAATTCGAGCAGGAACTCCCACTGTAACAACTGCATTCCTTCGGTGCTTCCCTACCACCCCAACACACTTTCTATCCCAATGACTATTAACGACAACTTTTCCATCCTACAGGATGATCCCTCCATTGTAGCCTTCTTTTCTGACCGCCCCATCATCTCATATCGCTGACCACCTAATCTGCATAACCTTCTTGTACACAGCTCCCTTGACCGCCCTAAAAAAAAACATCCACACCAGGCACTTTCCCTTGCAACAGAGCTCGCTGTATCACTTGCAAGTACATATCTAAACCACACTCATTCAAGGCCCCTTAGGACAATTCTGGATCACTTAGATGACATCTTGTACCTCCAGCAACATTATTTACTGTATCTCTTGTAGTAGGGGAAACATTGGGGAAACAGGAAGGAGACCCGGAGACCGTTTCAGATAACATGTTTAGAGCTGTGAAGATTAAAGATTTCTCCAAACCTATTGTTTCTCATTTCACCTCTAATGGCCATGATCACACTAATCTTTCCGTCTGTGTTCTCAAAGATGATTTTCCTAGCTCCTACGTTTGAAAGACTACAGAAACTGAAATGATCCTGCTGCTAGGATTACACCTTTCCCTTTCTCTCAATGACAGACTTATTTTCTTCTAAATTCTCTCTATTCTTTGTTGGTTTCATTTCACACCTCTCTTCACCTATCCTGAATTCACACTATCTGACTGGCCACTCTGTCTGTCCCCTGATCCCACCTCCCGCCCCTCCTCTCTCCCTGCTTTTATTCTCCTATGCTACATTACCTTTGCATACTGCCCTTTCTCACACCTGAAGAAGACTCCACGGCCAAAATGTTGTTTTCTTTCTTCTCATTTCAGCATGGAATAAACCTATTACTTGTTCCTTTGCAGTGTACACATGCTAATGTAGCTACCCACCTGAACTACTTCATACTACCAGCTATATAAAGACATATTAGATCCTTAAATTAATATTGTTATTAATTTCTAGATAAGTGATTCCATATATATTCCCTATTTAGCGGATTCTAAAAAGTATGAGGTTTATTACTGCGATAACGAGCACAAGTACTCATAGAAAAGGATAAAACATTATAACTTTTTATGAAGCATATAAACTTAATATAGTTAGAAGGAGCAAGTAAAAACCTTTTTCAAAATTACCACAGTATGTAACCAAATAAAAGACTTTGATGCTTATGAAGAAAGTAGAATACTGGTGTGTATTTTTTTATTTAAACTACCAATACCAGCCATATACAGTTTACATAATAGGTTTATATTCTTAAATTAATATTGTTAATGATGTTCAGAGACGTTATGCTCCTCTTCTTTTTTTGCTCAGCTATTAAAATTTCCCTTTAGTTGTAAAATTCCATATTATATTAAATATTAAGCAGATTTAAACATGCAGAGTAAAGTGATGAAATGAAGGAAACGTTTCACTAACAACCAGTGCACCACAGGTGCCGCCTGTTGGTCATTTTGGTCAACCAATCACGTACTGTGCTATAATGTGCTAAACTGCAGATAATTTCGCGCAGTACGGGGCTTTACCAAGAATTTTGAATGGCTGAATCTATATTTAGCAACATCTGATGTGCTTATATTTTCTGACACATTTGTGTTTGATAAAATATGGAAAATCAGCATATTATGAGCATGCATTATCAAAAAAACTATGTAAAGCCAATTACGGTCATAGCTGAATGATAGAAAAATACAATTAATCTACTATAAATAGGACTGCAACTTTCACTTGTACTTTTGCTCAGTAGATTTTAAAATAGTTTGTTTAAAAAATTGCCATGTAATCTGCAACATAGTGGAACCAAAACATTGAAGACAAAACAAAATGAATAAAAATTCACATTGTTTAAAGTACAAGCACAAATAAGATAGGTAGCTGGTTTCAAGGCAGATGGTGCTACTACCTTACCTTGATATAAAAAGTTTCCAGACAATGCTTGAAAAAAAAAACAACAAATAAAAATTACATAACTTTTTTCTTAAATAAAATCTAACAGCTGTTAACAAGGATTAACATATTAAAATAACACTGCCCATCGAACATTTTGGGAGTTCTGTCTTTGCAATTTCGTATATTGTGGGTCTGTGGTGCACAAACACTGATTCTCATAGCCCTTGCAGCTCTGCCCTGAGCTCCCAGTAACTGTGGTTAATTGAAAAAAACACAAGCTAAATGGAAGAAAGCAGGAATTGTTACATGATTTTAAGCAGGTGTCACCTTACAAATACCCATAAAACCTATCCTCCAGTAAAACCAGTTTTCCCATCACTATTTTAGGCAGTGCTGCTACTAGATATTTAAAAAATAGGCACATATAAAAGTGAGAGAATATCATCCAAAATGTATGTTAATTTAACAGTACAAATGATTGGTATTTGTGCCATGACTGGTAAAGACCAATGGGAAATTTGGCCAGGATGCTGGGGAAACACCCCTATGCTTTTCGAGAAAAGCCCTGGGGCTTCTTAATCACCACAGAGAGCCAGGACCTCGGTTTTATCTCATCTGAAGGACGACACCGTTTTATGTTATAGTGTCCCTGTCGCAACAATGGGGCATTACCCACACAGACCGCAGGGTTAGCATCCCATACTGTCCCCACTAACAGCTCTTCCAGCAAAACCTTCGTTTTCCAATCCAGGTACTGGCCAGGCTCCATCAGCTTAGCTTCAGTGGATTGTCAGTATGTGAAACATATGCGAAATCTAAAGCAACTGCTATAAATTCTCATGTACTTGCATGATTCCAGATCAGAATGTTTGTTGTGTACAATTTATTTAAGTTTAGCCTGCAGTATCTATGTTTTTTCTCATTTCATCTAGCCTGATTGTCCAATTTTAAATAAGGAAAAACAAATGATATGATATGATATGTCAGTTGTAAAGGCAAATAAATGTACAAATCACTGCACATATGTACATCTTTCTTTGTAATTGCAAATTATTTTATTATATATCTTCCTAATTGTTTTGCCTACTTCGCCAACTCTTTGGCAAGACACTGTCCGACATGGTGGATGCTGCACATTGGTGGTGGTGGAGGGGAGTCCCCATTACCTGTAAAGCGCTTTGAGTGGAGTGTCCAGAAAAGCGCTATGTTAGTCTAAGCAATTATTATTATTATTATTATTATTATTATTATTATTATTATTATTATTATTACATGGAACAGAAATGTATACATCCTCCTGCATTTGGCATTTACAGGATCTGCAGGACATTGAGCTCAAACAGGAAAAGCAGCTTTCTATGTACTTTTGTCACTGCAAGTCAACAAGGGCATTGCACAGTGTGACAGGAACCACTGTCTGATGGAAAAGTTGACAGACCTCAATTAATTTCTATCCTTCCATTACTGCTCAGTCTTTTGTGTGGCACTGTGGGATCAATGACCCCAATGTGCTCTTCAAGTGAGTGCCTTTATTGGTTCAGCCATTTGGAATTTCCTGAACAAATTTTCATGATCCATATTATATGTTTGTTTTACTGTACAAACGCAAACAAAATCCATATCTTGTTCTGTGCATGAAATTAAAAACTTGTAATTTGTTTGTTTTAATTTGTTTAGGAGGACAACTATTTCTTTTGAGAAATGCACCATGTGACTTGTTATAAGACACAGAGTGCAATATGTAGTGGGGAAAATCCAAATAAACAACCTCTTACACTAACAATTATATTAAAAATGGCAAAAGAAAGTAAATCTTAAAATGAGTACAACACATTCCCCATAGATTTTCTGTAGCAATAATTAATTATAAAAAAGAAAAAAACACTGTCTCTGTGGTTCATATACAATCATTATGGGTAAAGTTCAAGTTCCACAGTCTACAAAAATACATGGAGTGAATTATAGGCAGAACATATGACCACAATGCAGGTTTAATAAGTTTTACGTGAAATCACAGGCTCTATTTGTTAGAAGTGACATTGAAGGGGAGGGAATTAACTAAAAGTTCTTACTAAAAGTTTGTATTATATTTTGTTAACTATGTATCTTTTTACTTATATTTAACTAAATCTGTCTCAGGATATCTGGTCTCAAAAGATAACATAGCCACATGATGTCTTTATGCACAGCTGACATAGTTCTCAGGGAAATGACTGAGTGACCTCTCCTGGAACAAATGGTCTATTCAGCAGAAGGGGCTGCTTGTCACGCAACCCAGTAGTAAAGAATATATATGTACTGGTCAGCTTTTTAGAATGATCATACACAGTGCCTTGCGAAAGTATTCGGCCCCCTTGAACTTTTCAACCTTTTGCCACATTTCAGGCTTCAAACATAAAGATATAAATTTTTTATTTTATGTGAAGAATCACCAACAAGTGGGACACAATTGTGAAGTGGAACGAAATCTATTGGATTTTTGAAACTTTTTTAACTAATAAAAAAATGAAAAGTGGGGCGTGCAAAATTATTCGGCCCCCTTGCGTTAATACTTTGTAGAGCCACCTTTTGCTGCGATTACAGCTGCAAGTCGCAAATGTCCAATGAGTTTTATTTTTACTTCAATTGTCAATTATCCTACGTTACCTTCTTAAAATACAGACTCTATGATACCTTCTATAACAAAGACGTTTTATTCGTAAGATCAAAATTAGAAAGAAAAAATCTGAACAGATTAAAAACATTGGTTTGATGCCAAGATTATCACAAAGCAAAAGTAACCCCAAAAGTGTAAGAAAATATTTTTGGCTAAACTGTATTGCTGTAGAAGCTGAAATTCAAAACAAAAACAATCCCCCAACTGAAACTTTCTAGCTGTTATGGTTGGGGGGGTTAACATTTGTGCTTCAAAGCAATGACAAGACAGGTTGGCAGAAGCAGAGAGAGAAAAACAGACAGAAAAGGAAGACAAAAGAAGAAGAGAGGTGTATCAAGCAAGGGGACCTTGTTCGCATCAATCTTGGAGACCAGATATAAGCTAAGTTTCTGGACGTTGTTCAAGAGAACTTGCCATTCTGTTATTGCAGGAAATTTCAAGCTAAAGATGCTCTTTCCAGGTTAGTGATGCATTTTTAGAAGAGGAAGATATCCACTCCATTCACTTAGGAGCATCCGAATTTATCGGGAGATGTTAGCTCTACATCATATTCTTCTTTATTTAGGACACAGGCTCTCTTTCCATAAATCTAGATGCCCCAGATTGAATGGGAATCTATCTCATTAACCTGGAGTGAACATCTTTATTTACCGAGGAGTTAATTAACGAGGATAAAAACACTAAACCCTTTGATCGTCTCCACCTACCTACCACCCAGTAAATCTCCCAGCCATAACACAGTTGAGACCATTTAAAAAGAAAATTACATTGTTGTAAAATCTGAATAACTGGCTCATTTATTCATTAGATCCTATATTTCTACAACCTCGGTAACAAATCACATACAAAAGCAAAGCATGTTCTATTGTCCACATTAATAGATTCTAATAATGTGTTCACATCCAAGCTGACAACATTTTTAATATACATATCAACTGTACTAAAATATCCATTATTTGTGAACAATGATAAAGTGTAGAGTAACATTTTCTTCTTTATCATACTAATGCTGGATATTAAGTGAACCTTCAAAAAGAAAGATTGCGAACATTTCTAGTTACCTGAATAATTATCAAGTACACTTTAGATGCCATGGCAACTATTTTGATTACTGTGGTGTATAGAATTTAAACCTATTTAAATGTGTTCAAGGTGTAGTAAGCCTCTTCATTAAAAATGTCCCAAAGATAAGACATAACAGTGTTTATTTCATTGTTGATAAAGTGCCCTTTAAAGCTGAATATTGATTTAACTTCACTTGGGAAAGACAAAAATTGGAGAGAAGAACTCCTTTGCTGGAAACCTATTAGACAATTTTTCTTTTTCATTAAACTGCTACAATTTCACCTCACAAGACTGCAGTAGTGAAAATGGTCTGCTTTATTCTCACACTGCTAGTAAGTAAAAATAACATGTAAAAATTGCATAGCATATAGAAATAGACACTGAAAGCAATAAGAAAATGCATTTTTTCTTAGCAAGTAGGGTTGGAATCTTAATAGTTATTGTTTTTCCAAGCATACTGGTAAATCATTTGTTTTTTATCTAGAGTAGTAATACAGAGGAATTCATACAAGTTCCAAGTCCTTTTTTCTCGAAATAATATTCTAAATGTGGATTTCATGGAAACGTGCCCATGTTATTGTCAATAAAAAGCACCAATAACTAGGGCAAATATATATAAATATTATTCCCTTTACTGTAAATTAAAGTATTGACATTAGTTATTCAACGCAAGCATGTTTTAGGATTTTTAAAAAAAGAATCCCATTCCTAATTTGGTAACAAGCTTGAAGAAGAAAATACAATGCAAGTTCAAATATTAAAAAGGAGTTGACTACCAAAAATCAGTTAGAAGGCAATACTTCACTCTTGCTGTTAGTTCTGCATTTTGACTTTACATCTGTACATATCTGTAGGGAGAGGCTCCAGTCTTCCCAGTTAGGCTCCACTACCTCTGGATGGGCAGATGCAGGCCATTGACAGATGGCAGGCGTGGATGGAGCTCGAGCTGGGTCAGCAGTGTGAAGTGGTCCGAGGGGATGTGGGGGTGAGGACAGCCTGTGATGATGTTGTCTATGAGCCACTGAGGGTCCAGGGGTCCCAACAGTCCAAGCACACTCATGTGTGTGCTGGAGTAGAAAATGTAGTCAATCACACCCTAAGAATACATATGGAGAGAGTGTTAAGGTAACTTCAGGAATATACATGAACTATGGTACTACAGTTGGTTAAACCATTATGATGCCTGAAAACTAATGAAAATATGATTTTTTTTAAATCAAAATCTTTTGGTTGATTGCTTAACCTAAGGTGATGTTATTAGTGGAGGTGTACCAGAAATATAGGAGGAACAATCACTGTAGAAGCTGTAAAAGATGTACTGTAGACAGAAGACTGGGCAAACACCTGGATGATTATGTTTAAAGAAAGAAAAATGGAAATTAACCTGAAGAGGCCAAGTATTAAAAAGACCTACAGAAGATGTTTAAATGGATAATTATATATAGTTTCTAAAGGGTCTCTCAGGAGAGAATACTTTGAAGGAAATGGTAATGATAAATTAAATTGTATTTTTTATCACCTTAGTTATGTGGTGGTTTTTATTGGATTTTTTATATCAATATGCATTTCCAGCTCCATTTAAATTCTACCTAGATTAATTTTGATCATACCAATAAAAAAATACTTCTTGTAATGAAAAAAATGTCCCTTATTTACATTCACTCATATTACAGTATTGCACCAAACTGACTGTCCCTATTCAGATTACTTCAGTATTGACTTGTTTATAGTGAAATATATATTAAATGCTAAACTATAAAATGAATAGATGATTAAGACATGGAATGTTGAAATGAACAATTTCAAACAGTAATGGAAAATATTGAAATGTTATAATCTAGCCAGCAAGAAAGTAAATAAAATATTGAGCTCGCAAGATGAGAACACAAAGGCTCTTGTGTTGGCCTCAATAAGTGAGGAATTAATGACACACATGGTTGGGCACCATGCTTGGGAATAAGGCTAGAAAAGTGAAGTGTGTTGATGATCTTAATGACTGAAGCAAGTTATCAAAAAAAAATATTTTGTTCTACAACTAGACGAGTACAGATGCAGCCATTCAAAATGGGTGAGGTATTTCGCGGCATACCCCGGTGGGCGTGTCACAGTATCACGCAGTATCACGCGGTATCACGCGT